CCCCCCCCCCTGGATCCGCCCATGCTTACCAGGGTCCCCTTCAGGCTCCAGCCCCATGGCCATCCGATTTCTGAGCGTATTATGGGCATCCACTATACGGTCGATTTCATCCCGCGTGAACTCCATGACGATCAACCCTTGGCAGGCTGGGCCGACCTTTTTCGCCTCGTATGCGCACATCGTGTGGATTCCGCACTTTCTGCCCCTGTAGCGCTGATTCACGTCCACGCAGCAAACAGAGCAGTAAGGGTTGGACTGGTTGAACGGGAGACTGGCATTCTGCAGCCACTGAAGGGAGGTTTTCTTGGTGAGCAGGCTCTGGATGTCTCGGGTTGGTTGGGCCAGGTTGAGGAACAGAACAGGCAGGAGAATCGGCAGGAGTGACATTCCCTGACAGACTTGACTTGAAGGACTTTTCTGACCAAATCCGCTCGCTAAACTGGTAGAAACTTGGCAACTACAGCAGTTTGTTCAGCTCCACTGCGTCTAATTAAACAGATCCTCGGTAGTTATTTGCCTATTGGCCCGGCAGGTTTTGGGCATTATTCCACACCGACCTTTTCATTGTAACCAGCCCATATCTGATTGACTGATTTCCAGGCGCCCCGGACAACAATGGCAAATGCAAATATCGCGTGCCTCTGCCCATGTAAGCGACCCATAAAACCGTGAATTTTCCGAAACTGCTCTGAATGCTCGGCAATTTATTTGCGAAAGGTGTAAATCCGGCCCGGTCGATTTCAATTATGATGTTGGGGCTGATTTATGGGCTGTGGGGCTGAGCCGAGGCAATTATGGGCGGGCCCACCTTAATTCAATCGGGAACAGGCAGCGAGGTGCAACCGTAAGGAAACACTATTGTGCCAACATCTTGCAACTGTCTATGAAGGCTTTCACGGCCGGTTAAATCACATTTCTCTCATTCTTCCTGTCGTTTCGTTTGTTAAATTTGTCAAATACTTTGGACCCGCTTACTAAACTGACGCGATTAAATGGAAGAAAACCTTGACCTCTGTCTGACAGCCATGTGTTAAAGTCCACTACGTGAGGCTGCAGCGTAGCGAAACTACCTTCCACTCAGCTTTACCGCCTGTAGTCCAAGCGTCAATTGTCTGAAATTGGACAAGATTGCTCATTCGATGTTTGAGTTTTTACACAGGCGATTTTGAGCGCAATTTTAATACAAGCACAAGCCAACCAATGTATTTTTTGAGTAAAAAATGTTAGAGTTCAGCTAATAACAATCAATATTGTCCTTTTTTTCATTACAATGTCGCTTTGTCTACAAGAGTCACTCCCAACGACTGAACTGTTGCGAATAATACTGTCCGACGAACGTCCGAAACGTCAGGAATAAACTCCCAGGGACCACGGCTGCAAAGCCCGGAAAACATTTCTAAATGTGATCTTGCAACTGTTCCACAATGGGAACTTTCTCAACTGAAATGAACAAACAATTGCACCAAAGCGCACTTGTTGCGTTTCCCCATTTAGGCTCTTTGTTGCCGCCGTCTCGCTTCGCTGAGCTTTTGAATAGATGCCACATTATAAGAGGCCTCCCACACATCGCTGTGTTTTGTAAAGCTGCGAACAGTTGACGGGAAAAGCGTGCTTGAACCGTGAATTTCAATTTCCCAATACGTCGCGATTGCGACTTTAATGCAAAGCAACGGCATATCTGGAAATGAAGTTTAGCGCACAAACCGCCCGCCTACATCACGAATGAATTGCCGTTTCATGTCTGCATAATTCACCGCTTTCCATTATAAATAAACATATCGATTTTTGGATGTCGGGGGCGCATTTCTGGCCGAAATTTATTAGTTGCGGCCAAGCGCCATATTTTTCCTCGGTCTCACATTGGCGCAATTTGCTGTCGAGTGAAAAGGCGAATTCAAATTCGTTGGTGAATTTTTCATTACATGTGAAAGTGGGGTGTCGGTTCTGCGCGAAATTACCTTTTGAACTTACTTAAGCTTGGAACGACCCCTAAAATCCGGTGGAGAAATTTTTGAAGGGATATACAGGGCGGTCCTCAAGTAATGTAACACAATTCATATAGTCTACTGTAGACGTTAAATTGCGTGCTTTTTTATGACAAATTGTATTCTAAAAATGTTTCTAGTTTTCACGCAAAATGCGAAAATTCAAGATTAATGCGAGTCGGAAACTATTGACTTTCAGGTAAGACAAATTTGCCGCAAACGCAACATTTTTATGTAGACAGTCTACACAAAAATGTTGCGTTTGCGCCAAATTTGTCTTACCTGAAAGTGAATAGTTTCCGACTCGCATTAATCGTGAATTTTCGCATTTTGCGTGAAACCTAAAAACATTTTTAGAATACAATTTGTCATAAAAAAGCACGCAGTTTAACGCCCTTCTCATAATGCAAACTGGTTAAGAATCTATTGAAAATTTACGAAAATTGTATTTACACTTTGCCACACTGTACGTCGGAACCTATTAACTTTCAGACAAGACAAATTTGCCTAAAACGAAAATTTTTTGTTAGTGAATTTTGTCAAATTAGTTGAGAACCACCCTGTAGGCATTCAAAATGAAGAGGATCAGTCATAATCACTTTTCAAATGTGCCGAAAATGTCTATTATTTCGGATCTGAAACTTCTAGCATGTTTTTCAATGAGTTCGATGCATTCCTCGCGTCCGCGAGCTGAAAATGATGTAAAATTTAGGACATTTTATAAAATTTTCAATCTAAAAAAAAATCGACACCCACCCTGTGAAAAATTTCAGCCAAAAATCAAAATTTCGAATGCGTGTTTTTTGAGCTCAATCGCTTCTTTTCGACGTAAGAAGGTCACAACTATGCATTTACAAAGCGTTTGGGTCAATAATAAGGAAGAAATCGTCGATCAAAGATTGTGAACGTTCAAAAAACGCTTAAAAGGCCCCATTTTCCTGCCTTTTCCATTTTCCTCGCGCCCGCGTTTTATCAAGGCCGTGCAGCCCTATAAACAGCGTCGTAAATCACCGTTCAGTTCGTAGGGAAAAATCCCGACCGAAGCTAAAAAGTCAATTCAAAAGTGAGGCGGAATTCCTGGCGCGAGCCAAAGCGATTCCGTTCCAGGATTTCGCCCAAAGGAATAAAGCGGGACGTCTATGGAACGATTAGCATCGCCCTTTCATCTTTTAAACACCCCCATTAGCGCCCCACTTTTTTGTGGACTTTTACTAGTTTGCGCAAGTTTACATTTTCAAACTGAAAAAAAAATGTTTTAAAAGATTCAGATTCATCTAACGCATTATTGTGCATGGATGCGCAAAAACATTGAACAAACAGCCGAATAATGGAGCCGCCATTGATAATCGCTCACAAAGTGGACGCACAAAAACGCAAACAACCGTGCCAGATTCCGATTTCATCCCGAATGAGAGCGAAACTGAGTACGGCAAAGTCCAGAATGAAACAGTCGGGATCCGGGGGACGCAGGCGTCCATTCTTGGCGCGAAATCCAGGTGATCGATAGGCCTCCGGAGTCCCGGACTCAAGTGTACTGCAGCAGACTCTCTAGTCTTCCCGGATCCGCGCTGTCTAGCGGGCTGTGTCAACCGCTCTTACGTTTCGGTCATCACAGAAACAACCTCATCAGCTCCACAGGCCAGATTCGGCCAAATAAACTGCGGCCCAAATCCAGTTCTGGATCAGCTTTTGCGTTGCCGATCGTGCAAGGGCTGCGAAACGTTGCGAAACTTGAGGACCTTCAGAGGGCACCTGTTAGACCACCGATCAACAATAAACCCGTACAATAATAGCTGTTCTATCTTTAAGACGAAGACGTTTTTTTAGTAAATAGTGAGCTGCTTTGCGCCATGTGCCCGCTTATTGGAGAAACAGGGCGACCAGTTTTTTAACTCCGGCCTGGCTTCTGCACGTGGAACAACATGAGCTTGTCCAGATCGTGTTTGTCCAGCCGAGGGATGAATGGCAAGGTAAAGCGCGGCTAATTCGGATAATTATTACTCCAAATCAAATTCATTCCTGGGTTTCAATCATTTATTGTCTCTATTTATCAATCAAAATACGTTTCGGTGTATTTTTCCACCATCATCAGTTTTTATGTGTAGCGTTGTTGCTGCTTT